ATCCTGGGGGCCCAGCGCAGCCCCTTCCCCTGCAAGGACCACGAGAAGGTGAAGCTCTTCTGCCTCACCGACCGTGCCGTGGTCTGCTTCTTCTGTGACGAGCCGGCCGTGCATGAGCAGCACCAGGTCACCAACGTGGACGACGCCTTTGAGGAGCTGCAGGTGGGTCCCTGTGGGATTCCCCGCCCCGGGTGGCTCCTCGGGGCTGCTGTATCCGGCTGGTCCCTCTTGTTTCCCTGGTAGTGCCCTTCCCTTTTGTCCCTGCACCCATCCTGAGCCCATGGCCATCAGTCTTGTGGCTTCCTCCCATCTGTCCGTCCCTGCACCTTCTTTTTCTTCTCAGGATCAGCCCTGTGCCTTCCTTTTTTATGTCTGTCTGTCCCTGCACCCCATCTCTCACCTTGCGGTCAGTCCTGTGGCTTCTTCCAGTCTATCTGTCCCTGTACTCCTTTTCCTTCTCAGGGTCAGCCCTGTGCCTGCATCCTGTCATTCTGTCTGTCCCTGCACCCCTCCTGTCCCCTTGGAGGATTAGAGGGGTCAGTCCCATGGCTTCCTCTGGTCTGTCTGTCCCTGCAGCCCTCCTGCCCCTGTGGGGGTCATCCCTGTGCCATTTTCCTGCCTGTCCCTGTGTCCCTGCACCTCTTATTTTCTTGTCAGGGTCAGTCCCATGCCTTTCCTCATCAATCTGTCTGCACACCCCTCCTTTCTCCATGGGGGTCAGTCCTGTGACTTCCTCCTGCCCACGTGTCCCTGAACCCTGTATTTCCCTGTATTCCTTCTTTTCCCCACTGGAGTCAGTGCCATGGCTCCCTTCTGTCTGTCACTCACCCCTCCTGTCCTCACTGGGGTCAGCTCCATGCCTTCCTCCAGTCTGTCTGACCCCACAGCCCTTTGGTCTGCGTTGGAGCCAGCTCCCTCCATCCACCCATCCCTCCATCCACCCATCCACCCGTCCATCCACCCCTCCATCCACATTTCTGCCACTGTCCCCCTGGGGTCCCCCTTCTCCATCGCCACTGGGACTCTTTGGGAACCCTCAAATCACCCCATGGCTGAGCTGCCCCCCAAGTAGGACCTTCTAATCCAGGAGCTGTTACCCCCACCCCAGGCAGGACCCTCATTCCACAGGGGCCAGCCATGGCCTGGCCATCCCACAGCCCCATAACCCCGTGGTTGGTTTGGGTGGGAAAGCTCCCTGTGGATCCCTTTTTTCCCCAAATCACCTCTTTATGGGTTTTCCCTGCCTGTCCCCAGCGGGAGCTGAAGGAGCAGCTCCAGGGGCTGCAGGAGAGCGAGCGTGGCCACACAGAAGCCCTGCAGCTCCTCAAGAAGCAGCTGGCTGAGACCAAGGTACGTGTGAGGACCCCCATTTTTCCCCAGCCCTTCACAGCCCCCCAAAGCAGAACTGGGATCATTGCCACCCCGATGACACCCCAACCCTGACCCTCACCAGCCTGCTTTTGGAACTTCCAAACACTCCAAACTGTGCAATTTCATGGATTTGCCCCATTTTTTCCTTCTGTGGTACCCCAGTGGGGCTGCTCATCCCTCTGTAATTTCCTGCAGTGGTGCTTTGATTTATCTTTTTAAGTAATTTAATTATCTCCTCACTCAAGGGTTCAATGTCTAGTGAGGTTCAATTTTCTTCCTGTCCCCACCAGCAAGTGAGGTGGGGTTTTTTAGGTTTTAGTGTTTGGTTTTTTTTAGTTTTGGTTTCTTGGGGTTTTTTTAGGGGGTTTTAAGGCATAATTTGAGGGATTTTACAAGTTTAGTAGAGGGTTTTCTGGGGTTTTTTAAGGGTTCTTAAAAGATCTCTTTAAAGGTTCTTTAAGAATTCTTTAAGAGCTCTATAAAGTTTTTTGTGAGGTTTTTTCAGGGTTCTTTCGGGGATTGTTTTAAGGTTCTTTGGAAGGTTCTTTTGTGGTTCTTTTAGGTTTCTTGGGGAAATTTCTTAAGGTGCTTTTTTAGGATCTTTCTGGGTTCTTTTAGATTCTTCAGAAGGTTCTTTTAGGGTTACTTTAGGGTTCTTGGGTGTTCTTTGTAAGGTTCTTTGGGAGGTTTTTTAGGGTGCTTTTAGGTTTTTTTGGGGAGGTTTTCCTAGGGTTTTTCAGAAAGCTCTTTGGCTGGTTCTTCTAGGATCCTTTTAGTCCATTTTTTTAAGGGTGCACGCTCAAATCCACCCTTGTAGCCCCCAGAATTCCCTGATCTGATGCCCTTCTAGATATTTATTTGGGGATTAAGGAACTCCTGGATTGACCAGCAGAGCTTTGGGTGCTCCTAACCCCCCGTTGCACCCCAAGTCCTCAGCCAAGAGCCTGCGGGCGACCATCGGGGAGGCGTTTGAGCGGCTGCACCGGCTGCTGCGGGAGCGGCAGAAGGCCATGCTGGAGGAGCTGGAGGCCGACACGGCGCGCACGCTCAGCGACATCGAGCACAAGATCCAGCGCTACAGCCAGCAGCTGCGCAAGGTCCAGGAGGGCACCCAGATCCTGCAGGAGCGCCTGGCCGAGGCGGATAAACACGTCTTCCTGGCCGGCGTGGCGTCCCTCTCTGAGAGGTGGGTGGTGACGAGGGGATGGCGGGGTCCCTGGTGTCACCCCCGCCTCGGCACCGTGTGTTCTTCTCTGCAGGCTGAAGGGGAAGATCCACGAGACCAACCTGACCTATGAGGACTTTCCCACCTCCAAGTACATGGGCCCGCTGCAGTACACCATCTGGAAATCCCTCTTCCAGGACATCCATCCTGGTGAGGGCGCAGGGATGGGGGAGTAGCAAGGGATGGGGAGGTCACCAGGGACAGGAACACATTAATGAGGGATGGGGAAGGGGACATCACCTGGGAGGGAATGGGATGTCAGTGACAAGGGATGGGGGCATTGCTGCCAAGGGTCTGGGACATCAGTGATGAGGAGCAGGGACACACCAGTGAGGGACAGGGACCAAGGGATGAGCATGGGGACAGGACACCCCAGTGAAGGATGGGGACAGGGCCACCCCGGTGACCTTCCCCCCATGCCGGTCGTCACCCCGGTGGGACAGAGCACCCGGGCAGGCTCCAGAGCTGCACTAACCCTCGTTCCCCCTGTCCCTGCCGTGCCAGTGCCAGCAGCGCTGACGCTGGACCCCGGCACTGCCCACCACCGCCTCATCCTGTCGGACGACTGCACCATCGTGGCCTACGGCAACCTGCACCCGCAGCCGCTGCAGGACTCGCCGCGGCGCTTTGACGTGGAGGTGTCGGTGCTGGGCGCCGAGGCCTTCGGCGCCGGGGTGCACTACTGGGAGGTGGTGGTGTCCGAAAAAACCCAGTGGATGATCGGCCTGGCCCACGAGGCCGTGACCCGCAAGGGCAGCATCCAGATCCAGCCGAGCCGCGGGTTCTACTGCATCGTGATGCACGACGGGAACCAGTACAGCGCCTGCACCGAGCCCTGGACGCGGCTCAACGTCAAGGGCAAGCTGGAGAAGGTGGGCGTCTTCCTGGACTACGACAAGGGGCTCCTCATCTTCTACAACGCCGACGACATGTCCTGGCTCTACACCTTCCGGGAGAGGTTTCCCGGGAAGCTGTGCTCGTATTTTAGTCCTGGGCAGAGCCACGCCAACGGGAAGAATGTCCAGCCGCTGCGGATCAACACTGTCCGTATCTAGCGGGGGTTTTTGGGGTGTCCCCCGGCCCTGACGGGTGTTTTACTCCTCCAGGAACTGGTCCCGGTGCTGGGCAGGATCTGGCATTCCACCTGCTTCTCTGGGTCCTGTGCTTCCAGGGAATCCCAGTGCAGGGGGCTGGGATATGGCAATAAAGGATTTGGAGAGAAGGGGCTGGGTGGTGGAGAGCCCCAGGGTGGGGGGAGTGGGCTGGGGGCACTGTGGGGTGCTGTGGCAGGGGTGTGTCACTGTGCCGGGGGTGCCACACTGTGATGGGGCATTGTGCCCTGGTCTTTGCCATGGCAGGGGTCTGTCACCATGCTGGGGGTGCCACACTGTGCTGGGGGCATTGTGCCTTGGTTTGTGACACTGCCATGACAGGGGTCTGTCACCGTGCCAGGGGTGCCATGGGTGTCACACCGTGCAGGGGGTCACCATGCCGTGGGACATGCACTGTGACACGTGTGCCACATGAACAGCACCGTGCCCTCCTGTGCCGTGCCGTACTGTGCTGGGCCAGGCTGTGCCAGCCCTGGGCAGGGCTCCGTGTGTCAGTGTGGGGACGCTGCGTGCATTGGAATGTGCAGGGGGTGTATGGGCGCTGGGCTGGGTAGGGTGGGCTGTACAGAGGCTCTGGGAGTGGGGAGTGGGCTGCACACAGGGGGTGCTCTGTGCTGTGTTGGGTGGGCTGTGCAGGGGGGTTGTGTGCGGGGGCTCTGTGGGGCTGTCTGTATGGAGGTGGGCTAGGCAGGGGTATGGTATATGGAGGGAGAGACCTAGGGGGTGAGCTGTGTGGGGCAGTGCTACAGAGGGGTGGGCTGTACCCACCCAGAGTGACTGAAGGGGGAGATGTTTAGGGCCTGGGCAGTGCCAGGACTGTGGTGTAACAGGGGAGATACGTGCTGTACAGGGGCTGAGCTGTATATGGAGGGATGGTGATGTACAGGGCTGGGCTGTTCGTAGGAGCGTTAGGCAGGGGGTGATATGTAAGGGTGGGCTGTATGGGGGCTGCTGTGGCACACACCAGTACAGGACAGTGAGCACTGGGGGGATCTCCAGGGGGTGGCACACACCAGTACAGGACAGCGGGACACTGAGGGGGATCTCCAGGGGGTGGCACACACCAGTACAGGACGGTGGGGCACTGGGGGGATCTCCAGGGGGCGGCACACACCAGTACAGGACGGTGGGGCACTGGGGGGATCTCCAGGGGGCGGCACACACCAGTACAGGACGGTGGGGCACTGGGGGGATCTCCAGGGGGCGGCACACACCAGTACAGGCCGGGGGGCCAAGGGGGGGGGCACTGGGAGCAGCCCCCGCACTCGCCGCCAGGCGGCGCTGTGGCACCCGGTCCGCGCGATCCGCGCGTGCGCCCAGGGCGGACAATCGAGCGCCGAAAGGCGGAAGGGGTCCGCTGCCATCTTGCCCCGGGCGCAGCCCCTCCGGTACCGGCGAACGCGGGGGGCTGGGGGAGAGAGGGGCTTCGGGGGTTCGGCTGCGCAGTCAGGGGGCACCGGGGGGCTGGAGGAGCCAGGGGCCTGAGGGCTTCGGCAGTCAGGGGGCACCGGGGCCTTGGAGAGGGCTGAGGGAGTCAGGGGGCTGAGGCGTTCTGTGGGCCTGGGAAGGACCTTGTTGGGCGCTGAGGGTGGGGGTTGGGGAACTGTGATGTCTGTGGGTTTGGGGGAGGCTGTGGGGCATGAGGGGCGCCTTGTGGGGCACCGAGGGTGAGGGGTTTGGGCAAGTTGTGGTTTATGAGGGGCTAGGGAGATGGAGAGGGCTGTGAGGGGCCTGGGGTCTCTATGGGCAATGGGGTCTCTATGTGGTCTCTATCGGCAATGGGGTGCAGGGGCCTTTGGGATGGGGTGTCTGTGAGGGTGGGGGTGCTCTGGGAGCGATAGCGAGCGGGGTGTGAGGAGATGGGGCCGCTGAGGGGGTGGGGGTGACGGGGAGAAGCCTTGGGGGGCCCCTGTGGGGCTCGGCGTAACTGTGGGGTGTGACAGCACCTGAGAGGCCCGGGGTGGGGGGGGACGTGTCCTCGGAGGCTCCGGAGGGGGTTGGGGGTCTCCTGTGAGGCTTACGCTGCATTGGGGGTCAGCTGTAAGGCTCAGAGTGGGTTTGGGGGTCACCTCCAGGATGGATTTGGGGAGTCCCCTGTGAGGATGCCATTGGGACACCCCCTGTGAGCCTCGGCTGTCTGGGGTGTCCGGGGGGGCCGTGTGGGTGGCTCCGGGGTCCCGGTGACCCCCTGCCACGGTCGCAGCCATGGATCCGGGCGCGGGGGCGCGGAAGGAGCGGCCGAAGCCGCGGGAGCCAGCGGCTCGCCTGGAGAAGGCCAAGCAGAGGTCGGCACAGCAGGAGCTGAAGCAGCGGCAGCGGGCGGAGGTGGGAGCGCGGGGATGGGGAGGGACGCGGCCCGAGCCGCGGCCGAGCCCCCTTTGCCATCCGCCCTTTCCCAACCCCAGATCTACGCCCTGAACCGGGTGATGACGGAGCTGGAGCAGCAGCAGTTCGACTCCTTCTGCAAGCAGATGCAGGGATCCGGGGAATGACAGCCCGGCCTCTGCCCTACCCCCCCTTTTCTAACCCCCCGGTATTTATTATCAAATCGCCCTTTTTGTATCAATAAAATCTGTGCTGGTTCTCTGTCTCCCGGCTCCTGCTTGCTCCGGGTGTGAATGGCGTGGGGGAGGCCGGGGCAGGGCCGAGGCCAGAGCAGCTGCAGCGCCGGGTGCCAGCTCCAGCCGCGGCCCCACCCCGACATTCCCAGCCGCAGGGAAGGGTCCTGCCCTCCCGGAGCTGGGGTCTATCCCAGGGGAACGCAGCAGCAGCCACATCCCGCAGCTGCTCCTGCCGCCAGAGCCTCCCCGGGGATTCCAAGTGTTTCTGCAGCACCAGGTTTGACCTTCGCTTCCTTCCTCCACCCACACCCTCTGTGCTCCAGCCGCCGCTGTCCGGAGCTTTCTAGAGACTTTGGATCAAGTCCTGCTTCCCCCTTTCCCTGCCCCAGCGGTGTCGCACTGAGGGGGTGAAAATAAACCACATTTGGGATGGTGTTTCCCTGCAGCCAGGGATTAAGTGGTAAATTCCAAACTGTTCCCAGAGAATCCCATTTCGGAAACCCTCTGGAAGTTTGATCAGCATCTTCCTCCTCCCACCCAGGGAGGGCTTTCCTTACTTTTGGAGTGTGAACCTCCCTTTGTAATGAATTCCCCCTGGGCAGTGTGAGCGATCCCTAAACTTCAGTTTCCTGTGCAGAGGAGGGTTTGGGGGTCTCTTGTCAGGGCAAACTCTAAATTTCCTGTTCCCCAAGGCTTTGGAGGTCTCTGCTGTTGGTGTGGGGGGCTGGGGGTTCCCTCAATCCCCCCAAAGGACAGGGATTTTGGGCCTTCCCTGAAGTGGAGCCTGTCTCTTTTTCTACCTTAGTAGGCTCCTTCTGCCACCCGGATTCAGTGGGAAGAGCGAAGCGAGGAAGCAGCACGCGAAGCAAGGACGAGGAGATAAGGATGAGGATGAGGAAGGCTTTACTAGGCTCTAGGGAGGGCTCAGGCCTTGCAGCTCCAGAGGGCGAAGGGGAAGACGATGTAGGACGTGGCCCAGGCCAGGCAATAAACCGCAGCCACCGCCGTCGGTGCCAGCAGGACAGCCACCACCCCTAGGGAGCGGGAGAATCCTTGGGGATCTGCTCTCCCTCCCTGCACCACCGTCCCGAGAGGGCCATCCCCGTCCTTACCTCCAGCATAAACCAGTTTCTTCCAGAGCTGTGACTCCAGCACCCTGTCGTGGGGGTAGAAGCCGCAGTCGGCCATGAACAGGACCATGGCAGCCGCGGCGACGCGGAGCAGGGCCACGTGTCCCCCGGTGAGCAGGAAGGTGCTGACCAGCAGCGCCGAGGCGTAGGGGCAGGGCAGCCCTCGGTAGGTGAAGGGGATCCCTGTGGGGTGTCAGGAGTTCAATGTGGGGGCTAAAACCCCAGGCCCCCCACCCCCAGGGGCTCATCTTACCGCTGGAGAAGAAGCAGAGGCGGGCGAAGACGGCCAGCACGTAGGCGAGGGTCAGCAGCCCCCCCAGCACACCCTGGGGCTGCAGCAACAGCGCCGTGCCCAGCCCGAACGTGGTGAAATCGGCAAAGTCATCCAGCTTGGCACCTGTGGGGGCAGCCAGGGGCAGGTGCCAGGTGGGCACCGGGCACAGGGGACGCCCCTGGGGTCACCCCTGGGCCGGGGGGACGCACTCACCCAGTGCCGAGCAGGCGTCGAGCTGCCGGGCCACGGCCCCGTCGGCCAGATCCAGCAGGAAGCCCAGGAGCAGCAGCCAGCAGGAGTACTGGTATTGCCTGGGGGGAAGCCCCACTTCTCAGCCCCTGTTCCCCTCTTTTTCACCCCATTTCTCCCTTGTTTAGCCCCATCTGTTGAGAGTGGAGGTAAGCCCAGCCACCAGGTTGGCCACAGAGAGAGCAAAACTGGGATGATCTCCACATTTCATCCTATCTTTGCCCTGTTTCCCCTTTTTTCCAGCAGAAGCGGGGTGATCCCCACTTTACAACCTGCTTTTTCCTTTTCTTTTTTTTCCCCATTTTCCCTCTTCTGCCCTATCCACTTTGGATGGAGGAGAGCCTGGCCTCAGAGGCTGGCAATGGAGGGAGCAGATCCAAGGTGACCCCCACTTCCCAACTCTTTTCACCACATTTACACATTTTTCAGCACATTTCCCCCATTTTTGAGAAAAACTGGGGTGACCCCCACTTCTCAACCCTCTTTTTCACCCATTTTCAGCCCATTTCCTCCATTTTCCTCCCTCATCTACTGATGCTGCAGAGGCCAAAGGTGAGGAGCCTTTGACCATGGAGAGAGCCAAACCACAGTGTCCCCCACTTTTCTACCCAATTTTCACCCTATTTCCATCTTTCCTCCCCCCCTTTTCCCCTTTTTCCAGTAAACCACACTTTTCTATCATCTTTGCCCTCCCATTTCCCCCTTTTTCCAGAAAAACCAGGGTGACCCCAAATTCCATGCATATTTTTTACCACATTTCCTCTGTTTTTATCCCATTTCCCCTGTTTTTTCCCCACCTATTGAAGAAGCAGAGGCTGGAGGGGAGCCTGCCCGCCAGCTTGGCCACAGGGAGAGCACAGCCAGGGTGACCCCCACTCCCCAGCCCCGTTTTTCACCCCGTTTTTCCCAGTTTCCCCCACCTGTTGACACTGCAGAGGATGGAGGAGAGCCCAGCCAGGAGGTTGGCCACGGAGAGCCCGTTGGCCGCGTTTTTCCGGAGGAATTCCAGTGCCCGGCCCCGTCCCGCTTTCTCGCTCAGCACCAGCTTCTTGGTGGACTGGAAAATACCTACAACCCCCAGCGTGTTCCAACCAGGGAGGGGCTACAGCCCCCCCAAAACATAGGTTGGTGCAGGGGTTCCCCCTCCTCAAACCAAAATCCCCCAAAATCTGTTTAGGAAGCAGCAGGGGATTGATTTGTGCAAGCTCTGCTGCTGAGCTCCCCACCGGCGGCCAAAAATGGAATAAAAGAGGCCAAAAAAGCAAAGAAATTAATAAAAGAACCGTAAAATATAATAAAATAAAGACAAATTAAGCCAAACCCAAGCTTAGACTAAAAGCCAACCCCGGTTTAAGCTCTATGGATCTTATATACCTATCGGGCTAAGCTTTAGGGAAAGAATTTAAGGGTCCTGTCCTTTGCCCCCCGCCTTTGCCGTGTCCCAAAGCCAGGCAGATCCTTCATCTGAAAGAAAACAGCACGTCAGAGCAAGACAAACCCCCCGAGCCCCCTCAGAGCCCCCCCGAGCCGCTCCATCGCCGGAATGCCACCAGAACAGCTCCCCAGGTGGGAAAACCAGGAAGAGCCGCGGGAGAGCCGAGGTGTCGGGGGTCGGCGGCTCCGAGCCGAGAGCGACCTTTGGACACCGCGCCCGGAGCCGCCGGCACGGGCTGAGCCGGGAAAATCCCCCCTGAGCCCCGCACGGCGCTCCGCTCCTGCCGGAACCGGGCATTTTTGGGGGGCCTGAGGCCGTGCTGGGTGCTGCTCCCCACCTTTATCCCTCAGTTTGGGGTGAGTTTGGGGGCTTTCGACAGCTAAATTTTCGGGATTTGCCGTCCCTTCCCAGCGCCGGGCAGGATCGGGGCCCCGGGAATGTTCCGGAGCTGTCGCAGCACCGGATCCAGGCACCTGTGAGCGTCACAGCACCCGGGCACAGCCGGGGCTCCCGAGCTCGCCCGGTCCTGGAGTTTCTCGCCCCAAAATCCAAGTGCCGGGGTGGGACGGAATTCCTTAGCCCTGCGCTGCTCCCGCTGCTTTTATCACTACTTTGGGGACAAAGCAAGGTGATTTTGGTTCTTCCCAGGTGCGTTAGGAGGGGGTTGTGCCCCCAGGGCTATCTCACCCCCCCCCAAGGCACAGGGAAAAGGGGTTCAGCCACAGCAAATGCAAAGTTAACCTATTTTGGGGGGCAATGCATGTATTTTACAGTTTTCTGCACCGATAACCCTAATTTTTCTACTAACCCCCTCCAAATGATGATTTTTAGGGATGGGGGACACCTCGCAAAGGGGCCGATTATCATCCAGGTGACACTTACCGACCGGCGGTGACACCATCCACATGGCAGCGGCGGCTGTGGCAGCAGTGGCAGTGACGCCCCGGCGAGGGGAAACTGAGGCAGGGGCCGCTCCGTGGGGCTCCGCGCGGTGCCGCGTTATATAAGGAAAAGCCTCTCGGGCTGAGTCACCCGGCGGGGGTGGGTCCGGCCAGAGGCCACGGACACGGACACGGGGGGTTCGCAGCCGCTTGGCACCACCGGCGAGGGAGGAGCTGCCCCGGGGGGCCAGGGGGCCATGCCAGGCTCGCGGTGCCCCTGCCAGCCTCCCAGCGCCCCTGCCAGCCTCCCAGTGCCCACGCCAGGCTCACAGCACCGGTGCCAGGCTTGCAGTGCTTGTGCCAACCCTGCAGCGCGGGTGCCAGGCTCGCAGCACCCGTGCCCAGCCGCAGCACTGGTGCCAGGCTCGCAGCACCCACACCATGCCCACAACAGCAGGACTGGGCTGGCAGCACCCATGGTGCACTGATAGCACCTGTATCACACTCACAGCACGGGTGTCTCACTGATAACACCTGCACAGGCTCACAGCTCCCTCGTCACTCTGGTAACACCTGGATCAGTGTCACAGCACTGATTCCAGGCTCACTCCTCAGCTTGTCCAGGTGTGGACCACCCATGCCATGCTCACAGCACCTTTGCCAGCTTTGGAGCCCCTTTGGCAGGCTCACACCACCCACACCCAGCTCATGGCACCCATCCCACACCCCCAGCACCCATCCCACACTCCAGCACCCATCCCGCACTCATGGAACACATGCCAGGCTCTCAGAGCCCATCCCAGGATTGCACCATCCGTGCCAGGCTCACAGCACCCATATCCTGCTCACAACACCCCTGGCAGGCTCACAGTACTCACACCGTGCTTTGTATTGCCCATGCCAGGCTCACAGCACGCACCCCACACTCACAGCACCCATGCCAGGCTCACAGCACCCACCCCACACTCACAGCATCCACCCCTCTCTCACAGGACCTCTGCCAGGTGTGTACCACCTGTATTTGTGCCATGCTTGTAGCACCATGGCACTCACAGCATCCACACCAGTCCCACGACACCCACACCAGCCCCTGGCACTGCCACACCTGTCCCTGCACCCCACTGCCACCACAGGATGATTGCACCCAAAAGGTGTCACCACCCGATGCCATCCCACCAACAATTCACAGCCATAGCATGGGGGGCACAGCTGGTGCCCCCCACCCTCACCCCCTGCGCTGGGCTGGGTCCCCTTTTCCGCCACCCTGGGCCTGTGCCAGGTGGCCCCAACTTGTGCAAGGGTGTCACGAGCTGGGGGAGCTCGGCCTCCCCCTCCCCTGGAGCAAAGGGCCGGCGATAGAGAGGGGCTGCCGGGGCAGGCGACGCCGGGGCCACCAGCGGGAGAGCAAAGGTCCCCGAGGACACGGTGACAAGGAGCCCATAAAACTTATACAGCCCCGGTGCTGGAATTTTCCACCCAGATCCCGGCGGGAATTGAGGGGTGCTGCAGAGCCCATGGTTGCGGGGTCCCAGGGTGGGGGGAGGGCCCTGGGGTGCCCGTTGGGGGGTCCCAGGGTGCTGGTCACGGCGGGGGCGCCAGTGAAAGGGCTCTTTGTTCGCTGGTCACGCGCTGGTGCCGGCGGTTGCGAAGCGACGGCCAGGCCAGGAGGGCCATGGCCATGGGCGTCCAGCCCTGGGGCACCCCAAGGGGGCTGTCCCGCAGCCCCGGGGGGGCACAGCCCCGTGGGGGCACGGCCCGTCACTGGGTGCCCGTCACCGTGGCACTGGGGCAGTGCCGGTGTCCTCAGGGCACCCAGAGCCACCGCGCCGAGGTGTCTTGGGGTGTCTTTGGCAGCAGGTGCCCATGCCCATGGCACAGGGCGCTTCGGGGTGCTTGCTGCTGTGTCACCGGAGTGTCTGAGGCTCCCCATCCCTGTGGCACCCGGGTACTCATCCCTGTGGGATCTGGGTGTCTGAGGGTGCCATCCCCACGGCATCTGGGCACCTCTCAGTATCTATCCCCATCGTGTCTGAGTACCTCTGGGTGTCCATCCCCATGACACTGGGCACATCGGGGTGCTCCCAGAACTATCTGCTGGTAATGGTGCAGCCCCAGACCCCTCCCCAGCACAAGGACCACAAGGACACACTGGTGCCAGCAGTTGTGGTTTATTTGCCTAATGCCAGGCTGGGGGGGTCGATGACAAGGACGCTGCCATGCTCAGTTGTTTCTAATGGTCTGGAAGGGAGAAGATTCTCAGACAAGAGGACAGTACCCCAACACCCTGACACCCCAACACTCTAATAACCCAACACCCTGGCACCCCATCACCTCAGCACTATGGCATCCCAACACCCCAGGAGTCTGGCACACCAGTGCCCAGCAGCTCAGCGCCCCAGCACCATGGCTCCCCAGAACCCAGAGCCCTGGTACCCCATTGCCCTGACACCCCAATTCCCTGAGACCCCAGAACCCAGCACCCTGGTACCCCATCACCCCAGAGCTCTGGCAAACCTTTGTCCTGGCAGCCCAGCAACCTGGCACCCCAGAGACCTGGTGCCATGGTACCCTGACTCCCCACCCCCTGGCCCCCATTATCCTGGCATCTCAGCAACTCAGAGCCCTTTTTCCTCAGCTCCACAATACACAAGCACTCCAGTGCTGTGGCACATCTGTGCCCTGGCACTTTGGTACCCCACTGCCCTGGCACCCAGCAGCCTGGTACCCTGGCACTCCAGCATCCCAGCACCCCAGAGCACTTTTACCCTGGCACTGTGGCACTGACAGCTGGTACCCCAGCACCATGGCACCCTGACAGTCCCATCCTCTGGTACCCCAGCATCAGAGCACCCCAACCCTCTGCACCCAACAATCTGGTACACCAATACCCCGGCACCATGGCAGCCCAGCAGCCTGGCCCCTTTTCCCCCTGGTGCCCCGCTACCCCAGCACCCCAGAGCCCTGGTACCCCATTGCCCTGGCACCCAGTACCCCGATATGGCATCCCAATTCCCCAGCACCATGGTACCCAAGTTCCCTGGCATCCTGACACCATGATATCCCAATTCTCTGGCACTCTTGCACCCTGACAACCCAGGATCCCATTCCTTTCCTCCTGGCAGCCTGTGCCCACCTCTTCAATCCAGTCCTCGAAGGCGGACACGCGGGTGAACACCGTGGGTTTCTTGGCGGCATTGCAGCCCAGAGCCGACACGAAGCTGGCGATGCCATGGACCTCCCAGGTGCCATCCTCAGCCTGGCAGTTCAGGGGTCCCCCGGAGTCGCCCTGAGGTGTGGGATGAGGCAGGGTCAGCACCACAGGGAGCCCGGGATGTGCTCCCCTCCCCCCGGAGCAGTACCCACATTGCATCCAGACTTCTCAGCGCCACCGGCACAGATCATGGTTCGGCGGATGGCCAGGACGCCCCACCAGTCGGGCTGGGTGCAGTGCTCATAATCCACCACGGGCAGCTCTGCCTGCTGCAGCCGGTCCGGCAGCGACCCGCCAGCTGTGGGATCCGAGTACCCGGGGTGTGCCCACGGCGCCCCATCCATCCATCCATCATCCATCCATCCCTTCTGCACTCCCTTCACCCCAAACTCCCACTACACTCACCTCTCCACCTGCACCCTTCCCTGCACCCCTCCTGCACTGACCCCTGCACCCCTCCATGTGCCCCTCCATGCACTCTGGTGCCCTTCTGCACCCATCCCTGCACCATCCCTGCACCCCACACCCCTGTATCCAACACCACTTCTGCACCCCAACACCCATCTCTGCACCCCGCGTCTCCTCCATGCAGCCCTCTGCACTCCTCCCTGCCCCCCAGCCCCATCCCGCAGCCCCATCCCTCAGTCCCGTCCCGCAGCCCCCATTCCCTATCCCATCCCGCAGACCCATTCCCTATCCCATTCCCTATCCCATCCCGCAGCCCCGTCCCGCAGCCCCGGTGCCCTCACGAGATGCAGTGCGCGGCCGTCATCACCCAGTTGGCCGCGATCAGGGTGCCCCCGCAGGTGTGGCGGAAGGTGCCGTCCCGCTCGTACTGCAGCGAGATCTGGGGGGGAGACACCGCTGAGTGCCACCGTCCCCCCACACGGGTGCCGCTGCCCCTGTCCCCCTGTCCCCGTGTCCCCCTGTCCCCTCACCTGCCAGGGCCAGCTGTAGGGCTCCGCATCTTGCCCATTGACCACCCTGGAGTCCGGCAGCACCGCGGCGCGAGCACCTGCAGGACACGGCACCGTCACCCACCGGGCACCCACCCGAGCCGCGGGACACGGGGGGGTCAGGGGACACCTCACCGCCGGCCACCAGCAGCAGGACAAGGCTCAGCATCGCAGCCATGGCTCAAGTGTGGCTGTCCCGGGCACCCGCCGGCCTTAAATCCCCGCCGGCACCGGAGCCCCAAGGGCACCGCTGGGAACGGGCACCCGGTGCCCAGCTGGGTCTTGGTGGGGGTTAAACATTAACCTTGGCCTTGGGGGGACGTGGCACTGGCACCCAGCCACTGGGGACCCTACAGATCCCAAACCCCCTGTCCCTGCTGCTGCTACTGCCCCGTACCCGCTGCGTACCCCCAGAGTGCCCCATGTCCACCCCAGGCCCTCTGGTCCCCCAGTGCCCCCCACAGTCCCTCTAACTGCCCCCATGCCCCCCTTAGCCCCCATGACCCTCCTCCCCGTGCCCCCCACAGTCCCCACA